GGTACGGGCAGCGCCGCCGCCTGCCCCGCTCCCCTCGGGGAATGTGGACCCCCGCCGCGGGGATCGGGCCCCCGTGTCTGCCCCGCAGCAGCCCCGGGGTGTTACCCGAAAAGCGGATTTGTGCCCGGTGTGCAGTAAACCGATCTGGCACGCTCGGGAGAGAGATTGTATCTTATTCAGGCCTGGGTGCTCCGTGGACTTTTCCACAGATCCAGCACACCTACAGCAGGTTTTCATGCTCCTTTTATACACAAAAACCAGAGGTTAGTACTTTTCCAAACACGCCTGTTAGATACTGATTGGTTAGTGTTACATACGCTAGCATATAATTATTACACAGTTTACCTAATGATTCCAAAACTACGCATGCTCAGGGGAAGGGTCTTAACCTGGGCAGGGGTCTTTTTGACCTGTGGGTGTGTTTTTTAGTTTTATAATGAAGGTAGTTCTGATACCGAAAAGCCGGTCGAGGAAGAACTCTCTAAGACTCTGAGTATTCGGAAGCAGGCATTCTTTATGGCAGTGCTGGGCACACTCGCTCGTCCTCAAGTGTGCACACCCAATTGTGGTAATTGGACTTGGCTTTATACAATGAAGTGTTACATATTCATGACAATTCCAAAACCAGCTGTACATATTCATGATCTCTCCACGAAAAGGTAGGGTTTATTATAATGAGTTCTAAGAGTTATTTTTATGTGCTCTGCCCTGGTCTTCTAGTTATGCCCGCGCAGTGGCTCCTGGTAGTCGTGGGCAGGGGTCTTCAGGTTGAAGATGCCTCCTCTTCCTCTTGTGACTTTATACCCAATTAGTATTTCCGTAATCATGATAACTCAGTATTTGTTGAGTCCAGTCCCTTGGGACTCAGTAGTTGCAGCTCCTAGTATCTTAAGAGGCCCTACAGCTGAGAGCCCACCCTTTTATTGCATTATCCTGCCTGTCCAGTGTCTCTCTTAGCTGTCCTGCATCCATTTTGTTAAGGTTCCTCACTTCACTTTCAGGACACTCAAAAGTTAGTTTCATTGCCAAGTCAAGTAATCCCAGACATTCACTTCATGGTCTAGGATGTTCTGCTTATTGTCTAGGGTTTGGCGATCCAAGCTTGTTCTTAAAAAACTTATCAATAATCACGGTTAGCTCAACCACAATTCAAAGTCTTGTTTGACCAAAGCCTTGTAATTGTAAACCCCATGCGTGTGGTAACGATGTCTACCAGCGCAGTTCTTAACCGTGGCTATTAGCAAATGCGAGGTATACTGTATGACTGTGGGCCCCACAGCCTGACAGGGCTGGTGGGACTCTGGTCTTGGGTCTCACCACTGGAGACACAGCCCCAGGCCACTGCCTGGTCTGGCCTGGCCCTGGCCAGGGACCCCATGCAGCCTTGCACACCCATGCGGGCTGCTGTCAGCACAGCACAGGCACAGACCTCTAAGGCCTGTGGAGGTCAGCCAGCATGCGAACAGTAGGCAACCATCCAGCAGGACCCAGACTGGAAACTACAGGAACCCCATGAAATTCAGAATGAAGGGGAGAGTCAGCAATGAGAGACTGGAGCTGGAGGGGCTGTGCGAAGCAGGCCCTGGGGGCATGGTGGGAAAGTCCTGAGCCCCTATGAACAGGGGCATGGACGGGAGGTGGAGGGAAGGGGGTGTTGCCCCCAGCTCTGTGCTCATCAGACTACATTCAGGTACTGTGTCTGGTTCAAGAAGGATGTTGATAAACCAGTGATAAAATGCTGCCAAAGGAGGGCACCTAGTGAAGAAAGGGAGAGGTTGTCTCCTTCGCTCTGCTCCCTCAGATCTCCATTGGAGGATCCATGTCCAGGGGTGACACAGTGCTCTGAGCCATGCAACACTGGCTTCTCCTCTTCTTAACTTAGTTGACTCTTCAAACCACATTTTTCTTGATATCTTTTAGTTTTCCTAAAGATGCATTCTTACCTTCTTGGGCATTGTTACCTATTTTGGTTTTTTCTGTTTGTGAAAAGGTCTTGTTGTAACCATCACTTTTGTTCTCCTTGTAAACAAGTCTGCAGCAGACCAAAACCATATTATCTCACAAATTCAGAACCTGGGTTCAGAGACTGCCCTCCAATAAGTTTTGTCTTAACAAACCTATCATTACTGAAAACTCTTGAGTTCTTGAGTTGTGTAATGGTTGGTTAAGTCAGTTAATGTTTTCCTACAGACACTGTATGAGGAATGACATCACCATTGCATACTCCTGTTGGTTGCTGTCCTGGTTTTGGCCAGGATAGAGCTGATTTTTTTTTTTTCTTAGGAGCTTGAATAGTGCTGTGCTTTGGATTCAATATGGGATTTGTTATGAGAAGAATGTTGATAATACACTGATATTTTTAGTTGTTACTAAGAAATCAAGGACTTCTCAACATCCCGTGTCCTGCTAGTGTGCAGGTGCACAAGAAGCTGGGAGGGAGCACAGGCAGAGCAACAGACCCGAATTGGCCAGTGGAACATTCCATATCATACAACATCATGCTCAGTCTATAAACTGGGGGAAGTTGGCCGGGAGGGTGGATTGCACCTTGGGCATCTATCAGCAGGTGGTGAGCAATTGCATTGTGCATCACTTGTCTTTTCTTGGGTTTTATTTCTCTCTCTTTTTGTTATATTCTTTTTCATTACAATTATTATTATTATTATTATATATTTTTTATTATTATTATTATTATTATTATATTTTATTTTGGTTATTAAACTGTTCTTATCTTAACCCATGAGTTCTACTTTTTCTGCATCTCCTCCCTATCCTACTGGGAGTAGGGAGAAGTGAGTAAGTGACTGCATGGTTCTTAGTTGATGCCTGGGGTTAAGCCATGACAGTTGCTATATATCATGATATATCTCCAACAAATCAAGAGCATTTTGCTGCAGAAAACTCAGATGTGTGGTAGATTGGTCATGACCTGCGCACTGATGTTGCTGCCTTTTCTTCTTTGACGGCACAAGGTGTTATGTGGTTCATGGACAGAAAAAAAATAATTGAAATAATGGCAGCTATATAATTTTCTCATGCTAAATTGTTAAAAATGTTTTTAATGAAATGTTTTTCCGAAATGTTTTTAATGAAATGCTTTTCACCTTGAAAGAATTGTGGGCAGGAACAACAATTAGTGTTTTTAAGCTGGTATAATAAACCATCAATTTTATTAATAGTCTAAGGAAAATACAGAACACTTAACTATAGGCCAAATGGATGGTAATAACATTCATATGAAAAAGAACTCTCAGATTATTTCTTACCAACTTTGACAGCATGCTGAAGTGGAGGTTATTAAAATGGGATGCTGTTGTTGTGGTTTGAGCTCAGAGGGCAGCTGAACACCACGCATCTGCTTGTTGCCCCCTTCCCCCTCAGGAATGGAAGGAGAAAATAAAGCAAAAGGCTTGGGAATTGAGGTAAGGACAGGGAGGGGTGATTCACCCATTACGGTCATGGACAAAAGACAGATTTATTAGGGGAAGAAAAAGAACATCAATTTAATTCAAACACTAACAACAACAACACTTAACAGAGTAGGACAGTGAAAAGCATTGCCACATCTTAAAAGCACCTTCTTCCTGGGCTTGGCTTTGCTCCTGATTTCTCTACCTCCTCCTCCTAAGTGGGCTAGGGAATGGGGGTGTGATCAGTCCCACTGCTTCCTCCTCAGGGGGAGGACTCCTTGCATTCTTCCCCTGCTACGGCATGGGGTCCCTTTCACGGCAGACAGTCCTCCACGAACTTTCTCCAACATGAGTCCTTCCCACGGGCTGCAGTCCTTCCCGAGCTGCTCCAGTGTGGGTCCCTTCTGTGTGTTGCAATCCTTCCAGTGCTGAACTACAAAACTGGGGGCTTCTTCCCACAGAGTCCCAACTCCTTTGCACAGCTGCCTGCTCCAGCGTGGGGTCCTTCACGGGCTGCAGGTGAGCATCTGCTCCACCAGTGACCTCCATGGGCAGCAGGGGCACAGCCTGCCCTCTCTCCATGGGCTGCAGGGGTCTCTGAACCAGGGCACTTCCCTCCCTTCCTCCTCTCTTCTGCTGACCTCGGTGTTTGCATAGGTGTCCTCCTCACAACTCCTCCTCTCAACTCCAACTCCTCCTCTTAAATACATTATTACAGAGACCCAGCCACTGTTGCTAATTGGCTCGGCCTTGGCCAGAGGCGAGGCTGACTGGGGAGCTTCAAGAATCTTCTCACAGGGGACAGCCACTGTTGCCCCCTCCCCCATTAGCAAAACCCTGCCACAAGCCCAGCAAAATTGTGTGTTTTATTTGTTACTGGGATGAAACTTGGGATATTGAATTTAGTCTTTTTGAAGCTAAATTTTTTTTTCCTGAATATAAGCCAGGATCAATCAGAGCTTAAAATACCTTTCCAGGAAAAAGAAAAAGGTTTTAAAGCAATATTGTCTTAACCCCGACATGTAGAAGTGAGACATGGTAATTCTTTAGGGCACACCTTGGTCTATGAGGAAGATACTGTGATTTCGCTACTGCATGGGCAGAGTTGGAATGGGAATTGTCAACCCTTGACCCCATTAATCTGGGACCACATCTGCTGTCCTTCTGACAAGACTAAAGAGATGGAGAGGAAGTCAGAATATTAAATCTTATGTTTCTCTTGCTCTGGAGTGAAATTTTACCTTCTTCATTGAAAGTTTTCCTTGACTGGCACTTGCTGGGTTGTGGCAAAGTGAATTTCACAGCTTGTCTTGCCCCTGTCCTGGACGGCTCTGGAGGAAGTGCTGCAGCATTAGCCTGCTCAGGCTCCTCTGCCAGCAAAGGAAAAATGTCCTTTCCAACTCTCAGATGGCAGCTAGCAGGATGGCCAAAGTAAGTGAGGCTGTACTGTTCCCAGACCAGAAACTGATGACAGCGTTACAAGTATGGTTTATTATACTTGCAGGCATATAGAGAAGATGTGGAAACTCCTGCAATTACTAAATGTGAACTAGTGAGAGATTTCTACTAATTTCTACTCTTTGCACAGTTTTCATGCTGCTGCTTAGCACAAATACCTTGGGGTATTGTGCACCAGCAAGTATTTCCTGTAGGCAGGGGGAAGTCCTGAAAAGGTGCCCCAAACAAGTGCTCTGCATATGGCACTTTTGGAGGTATATTATGCTCTATTTTTAATGTTAGTGTGTTGCAGGTATCTGATTATTTGCTCTGGTCTGCTGCTGATAGCACAGGAGATGCTGGTTTTCCCAGGGATTTGGCAGGTTATTTGACCCAATCTTTATGACAGAAATAATATCAAAAATTGTCTCAGCCTTAAGGCAGTTCTTAGGAGTTTGCTTTTCCTTCTGCTACCTTAAAGCAAAAAAGATGATGTATGAAATTTTGCTAGGCATCTTATTTCTACTAGGAGGCGCTCTCTGACCTGGGATTGGAATGGCCTCTCCACCTGCTTTCAGATGCATTGGGTTTGTGTTATCCTCACAGTGCTGTTTGTGGTTAGGTTAAAACACCTCACAGCCCAGGGAACCACGCCGTGCCTGTGACTCAAATGCTGAGGCTGTTCCCTCTTCCCAGTTTAGGAAGGTGCTGTTTGTCAAGATGTCACCGAAAACCGGGATAAAAACTTATTGACACCAACGTGCTGTAGGTAAGCAGACACTTCTTTATTTAAACAGCCGGGTGCGCAGGGGAGTCGTCTCGCCAACAACGCACACCAAGCACTAAAATGATACATCTTATACAGAACTTGCTCCTACATATTCATTAAGTATTCATGCATAAACATATAATTTCTTGGAAATCATCCACATACTCTCCTCCTATTTCCGATTATGTGCAATGAAAGCTAGAAATGTCTAGAAATGGGTCTGGGGTGTAATACGAGTAGGTGGTCCATGAGTCGGGGGTCGCGATCTCCCCCTGCTGGAATTACCTTCTGCTTAAGTTCACGGTTTCTTGGCAGGTACTCGCAAGCTGTTACAGTTGGTTTTCCTCAGTTCCCATTAATCCTAGACCTTGACAGCTACATGCATTCTTCTAGTTCTATGTATGCCTCATAAATCAATTTATAAATCAAATTGTGTTTGTTACCTAGGTTCCAAACACTCCTACTAGTTAATTTTGACCGATCTCTTCGTCCTTGGTATGGGGCTGTGCAGGGGATTTTAGAGTAGCATTCGGTTGCTGGTATAAAGTGCAATAAATGTGAACAAATAATTTCTACTAAAATATCTCTTAATTCTATATTCATATTAAAATCAAACATCATTTAATTTCAGCTGATAGCAAAATCAGTAACAAAGACTCCAAATGTATAGGTAATTTGGTGGCTCATCTCTGTTGTTTGCAGAAGTAAGTGCAAAAGGCAAAGGCATTCTGTAAATTTAAGATCGACATGTTAGCAGAATGAAGTCCAGTAATGAATTACCCAACCTGTAGCGAAGTGTTTTTTTTGTTTTTGTTCTTTTAGCTTAAAGGGTACTTATTGCATACACACTAGATTTCAATAGTCTTCAAAAGCTTTTTTTCTTCTTTGTGTGTGTGGGACAAATGCTTGTAGTTGTCCCATTCTCAGTGAGATTCCTGCATGTGGTTTTTGCTGGCTTTGAGCCTTAGTGTGAAAAATGTCCAGAAGCCCCAGTCTTGCATCCTCCTTGTCCCCAAAGCTGTGGTGCAAACTTGGCTCCTGGCCTTGTTGAAGGTGAGGAGGAGATTTGAAACCCAGGCCACTCCAGTTTTTAAGAGATGCCATGACTGGGCAATCCGAGTGCAGGACACAGACGAGTCCTGCTCCTCTTTGGGATGCTGGAGCTAGTCCTAGGATCAGCGTTGCAACATTTGCCATGCTGACAGAGCAGAAGGAGGCAAGTCATGGCCCACTCCTATCCCCACCGGCCATCTGGCTGCAGGTCACTGCACTCACCACAGACAGTGCTCAGAAGACAAGGTCCTGTTACAGCTCCTAATAACCGGTGCCATTCACGCACCAAGTATGCTGCCATGGCCAGCAGCATGTTCCTGATGCTCCAGAAAATGCTGGTCAGGATACCAGAGAAGGTGTGGTGCTGTGTATCCACCCACTCCATCCCTGCAAGAAGGAGGCAGTGTTCAGCTGGGACACACGGGACTTCTCCAGGGAGGGGTCTGCAGGGTTTTTTAACAAGGGCAAAGTGAGGTAGAGTCTGTCCCTGGTTGTCTCCTCCAGGAGAGTTCCACTGTGTGGCTGACATCTGGCACATTTAAAACATTCATCCACAATGCTTAACCTCTTGAAAAGTTGTAAGCAACTAAACTAAAATGAAGTCTTAAAAGAAGAAATACTGGACATATAGTAAGAAAGTACTAAAAACACCTTAAGTGATACTTTAAAAAAATTCCATTCAATAGCATTCAACTGGTCTTCATTAAACCAATAATTTTTTTCCCTATCTTGCCTGCACAGTTTCCTATTTTTCTGCCCATTCATTATTCCAGATGAAAGCAATATATTAAGATGAATTGTTGTTCATGTGGAATCTACCCAAAGTATATACTAATGCACATGTAAAGCCAGAACAGATGGTGGTCTCCTTGTTTGTGTGTGTGTGAACTAAAAGCCAATTTTCTTCCAAAGATCTGGACATCTTGTTACAGCCTCTAACAATCAGAAATGTCCCTCCCAAGCTCTACTTTGCCTTGCAGGCATCAACATTTATAACAATAAAAAAAACATAGCAGGCCTTGGGATTTGTCGGGTCTTTTGTGGACTTGTCCAGTATTGAAGCTATTTTAGCTTGATTTTGGCTGTGTCTGCAAAAATCCTGGAAATTTTTGCTGCCCCTGTAACTTGCTCTTGGGTACAATGCGTCTTGCCTAGTATGTCCCAACTGTACCTACACAATCATCCAGTGCTTTTTTGGGTGCCCTGAAGTTGGAGCTTGTTTTTATTATAATTGCCTACATTTTTCAGCTTCAGCTTTGCCTAGCTCTATGTGATGTTTGTTTTTTTTTTTTGGGGGTGGTTCTTTGCCTCCACTCTTTGTAAAAATACAGATTGGGAACTTACGAAAATTGTGAGCAAACTCAAGACTGGGGAAGTAAAAACACCCTATGGATGGCACACCATCCTCCTCCTGCTGAGGACATGGAAACACTGATAAATTGTCTTAACAGGGTGTTTGTAGGGTGAGAACTCAGTATCAGAGGAAAGGTGCAGAAACTTTGGACCGTGGCTCTTTTTGTGCTACTGACGATCCTTGCCAGGAATTGGGTAGCATGGATTGCAAGTGTTAATGTTGCAACAGAAGTACTAATCAGTGGTTGTTGTATTTTGAGTAGACTGTTAAAGCATTAATTAAACTAACAGAAAATTGTAATTCTTGGATCCTTCCAAAAGGGGTGCCTTCTTTTGGCTGCCTGTAGTGAAATTGTGCACATAACGATTTCCAAACTCCCGTTCCTACTAGCTCTGCCCTGTCTGGTAGACAAGTACCTACCCACCTGTCAGAAGTACCCCTGTACAACCAGGCACCCACAAACCCCCACATACTTACTGAAAGGCAATATAATAAGGGAGACGCTGCTCAGGGCCACCTGAGTGAGGGTCCATGTGATGGCCAGCATGCTGTAGGAGACAGAGGCAGCACTCAGCATCCCAAATATGACAGAGAACACAAGTGACAGCAGGAGCATGGATTTCCGTCCAAAACTGCCACAAGCACAGGCTGGGTTACAGTGGCTGGAAACCTGTCCCAGGAGTAGGGGTGAAATGGGGCAAACAGAGACTTGGGAAGGAAAATGAAAATATTGCCTGCTCTGCAAAGAGCGCAAGATGCAACACCCCAGAGAGGAGGAAATGGCTCTGGATATAGCCGGTGCCACAGTGGTGCAATCCCATTCAGAGGGCCAGCCTGCTCTGTGAGCATCAGGCATGAGGCTCTCCAGTGGAAAGAGCGGCACTGATCAGAATATATTGGGCTCCTCTGTTCAACACCAACATCAAAAACAGTGATGTCTGCTTGAAATCCCATGCTGCTGGCACACCCTGCTCCCTCCAATGACTGTCCCATGCCTGGCTCAGCATGTCCATCTCCCATGGCTGACCAGCCACTGCCGCTGCCCTCGAGGAGGAGAGAGAACCATGACACTTTCACCCTGATTCTTGGAAGAAAAACAAAGATCCCAAAGGAAAATAAAAGGAATCCACTTGTCAGACCACATGTGCAAATAGCCCTGATGTCTTAAGAGATCTATGATAAATCTCTAGGAGGTCATTCCCCAAGGGTTTTGGAAGTTGTAGGACCATCTTACCCGTCATGCAGAGTCCTGTGTGGAGAAATACAAAAAATTAAATACACACAAATGAGCATGTACACATACACACACGCACAGAGGAATACGTGTCTATTTCTACACAACCTATGAAAATCAAAATGGAGCACAAGGCATCAGTCTCCTCATGAACATCAGCACTGCATGTGATGAAAGGTTATGTTCAAGCTGGAGTAGTAAATGAAGGTAGTGTTTAGTCTGTAGGTCTGATTCTGGCATTAGGGCTCTCTTAGTGTCCACCTAAGAAGGATGGTGGCAAGCACAATTGCACCAGCACCAGGGAAAAAAGTGAAGTGCTTGGACATAATGCCACAGTAACACTCCTAAAATTATCATAAATGACTTAATGCAGCAGCTAGTTAATGAATCTACTTGGAGAAAAACAACTTGGGCTTGGGCCCAGGCAGTTTGCTGGATCTGCTTTGAAATTTAAGCAGAGCCAGTTTGCAAAAGTCATTATAATGTCCCTGGGTTGGAGCAGCAAACACCTAGAAACACGAGGGCTGGATCTAGTTTCCAGTAGGGTAACTGCCTAAGAAAGAAGATACATTTTTAAAGTGAAATTTTTCTTGACAATACAGTCAGAAGGATATAAAACCGTAAGATTGCCTGCAGGGCACAAGGCAGCTATTTATGAACCCATTACTAGTCTCTCTCAGCAAAAGCATGACACCTGCTAGGAAAACCAGAGTCAAGCTGGCAGGATTGAACTGCAGGCTACGGGGCGGCTGCTAGAAATAATGCTGTTAAAATTGTCTTCAAGGGGAGATGTAGGAAAGCACAACCTCTGAAAGATTAAATGTAGAAAATAGAAGTAGCAAAATGCACAAGTATAAAAATTAATAAAAAAGCTATTTTCATAAATACCCAATCTGGAAGTCTGCCAAAGCATCATGCAGCCAATTCAGTACAAAGTACCAGGGTAAAATTTGTCAGTAGAGATGTTCTCAAATCCAGATGTCTGCAGAGGCTTAGAACAAAACAAGCCTGAACTGTAGCAGAATGCCAGGACCAGATAGTTTTCACCCTGGAGCACTAGAGATGAAATTTCTGCATTACTGTTAGCACAAAGAAGTGGGACCTGTTCTCCTTCATTTCTTCTATATCCCTTTGAGATGAGGAAGGAAGGTGAAGGGAAATCAAAACTGCACACAATATTCAAGATGTGGGGCCACCATGCATTTACATGTTACTGCAGTGGTATTCTCTCTAATTTTATATTGCTTTTGTAATGATTCTTAATTTTTTTACTCACTCACCCAGCCACCACACATTGCTGAGTGGATTGTTGCTGATGTTAGAGCTGTCTGTCATAATCCCAGAGTCTTGCTCCTGAGCAGCTATGGTCAGCTCAGAGGCCTCAATTTTAAATGAGAAGTTAGAATTGTTTCTCTCTTTATTTTGGATTAATCTACCCTGAAATTTTGTCTTCTGATGCTCTCATCCAGTCACAGAGCTCTTTAAGCTCCTTCTGCAGTTCTTCACACTCAGATCTCATCTCTACCAGCCTGGTCACTCAGCATCACCTCCCCACTTGCTTCTTTTCCAGATAATTTATAAATGTGCTGAAAAGTACACAAATCCAAGCACAGGTCCCCACAGGTCTCCCTCCATTGTCACAACTGAACACTTATATCTCCCTCTTCCTTCCTGGCTTTTAATCAATTATTTATTCATGCAGAGACCTTCCTCCTTATCCTAGGGCAGCTCAGTTTCTTTAGGAACCTTTGGTAAGGAAACTTCTTGAAATCCATTTGGGTGGTATCTCCCCTGTTCACATGCCTGTTAGTGCATTCAAAGGAATCCAGTATGTTTGTAAGGCATGAATCTTTTGCAAAAACCCTGCTGAGTCTTCACCAATATGTCATCTTTACCCATACGGCTACCGACTCAATCTTTCAGAAGAGTTTCTACTAATTTGCCTGGTTCAGATGGATGTCAGGCTGCCTGGAATGTAGTTTCTGAGATCTTTTTTGGAAACCAGTTTAAAACTGATTTGATACACAGTAACTTCCCAGCCCTCTGCTGTGGTGGTCACACAAAGCCAACAGTATTTCAGATTTTTCATCTCAAAGGTCCTGTAGGGCTCTAGGATGACCACTCCCTGCTCCTGGCAGGCTGCTGGCATTCACCTGGTGTATTTCTCTGTGCTTTCTATCAGCTTGTTTCAAAGTTCCAGCTCCAACACCTGCCCCTACAGGTTCTCCCACTGTGAGCACAAACTCATTTATGTCTCACACTAAAGCCTTTTCATTTCCAGATGCTCCTTTTATGCCTTGATATGGCTCTTCCCTCTCACAATCCATTTGAAAAACAAATTATTGTTTGTTTTGCTCTAGCAGAGACCATCTCTTCTGCCTTATTATGTCCTGCTCCTTTTCATGATTCTGAATTTCTTTCCCTCCAACTGTGCTACAAAGCCATTTTAGATACAAAGCTAAAAGGCACAGTTTGAATATCAGCCAGGCGTCTTGGGTCTTTGTAAAAGTATACTGATATACTCCTATGCAAAGATATGGATGTAAAAATTCCCATCGTCAGCACTAAGTCTCTGAGTGCTTCATAATGTGAAGGTGGTTTCCCTCTGCTATGCAGTGATTTTGTAGCCTGCCGAACACTAATGCTTGTTTGGTCTCAGAGGAAGGAACTCAGGGAGCAGTTTCCTGTGCAGGAAACTCAGACATTAAATAACGAATAGCGCAGAGTGCACATCCTGATTGCATGCCTGTACTACTTATTCTTCCATAGGTTTCCTGGTTCTGCTGTTTGCAAAAATACTTAGTTTCTTAATTGATGCCCTTTCTAGGTTATTACTCCGATATTATTCAGGTTTACATTATCACTTTCTAACATTTAAGCAGAGAGAGAAGATTTGTTCCTGTTTTCCTCATTGCCTCAGCTCTTCCTTGAGGAATGTCTCCCTGCTTCTACTAATCTCCCTTACCCTGGCTTTTGTAATGATATGGTCAGTTTGTGCTTTCTGGTTACTCTTTTTTTTTTTTTTTCAGCTATGGCATGTATTTGCGCTGAGCCCCTCACTTGGGTGTCCTTAACCAATTTCCATATAACTTGCAAGGAGTTAACTCTTTTAGTCTCTTGGTTTGTTTTTGTTTTAGTCATCTTTCTCCTTTTTCGGACAGTTATCCTTTCTGAAATTGGTCTCACAGAGAGTGGATTTTTTCAGTTTTTACTGTTCCTGCAGCAATGCTGATCACAGTGTTGTAGTCATTGCTGCAGTGCATCTTCCTCCTAACCAAGGCCAGAGCTGCTTCTCTGGTGGGCTGCTAACTGGCTGTTCCATGAAGCATTCAGCCACTGCATTGCTTCCCAGTATCACTTTAATCCAATTTTCAAGTGAGAAGCTAGATTCTCCCTTTATGATTGTGTTTTCTCCTTTCTCTGCCCCTCTGATTGCCTTCTTCAGGTCACAGATTTGTGAAGCTCTCATCATGAAACTGAAGCCCTAGAGGAACAGCCTGAAAGGCATCAAACCTGTCTGAAAGGTATCCAAATATCACAGCCCCCACTGTAACACTGATGAAGAAGGTGGTTGGTTCAGTCTGCGCTGCTAACACACGAGGTCCCACTGAAACACAAGGCCAAAATGACACTTAGTGCCCAAGTTGCCTTTTCACAACCCTTCCCTCCGATGGTCAGCCACCGTGTCTTGCAATTCGTATCAGATGAATCTGCTTGAGGGGCAGCATCCTGCACTAAACTTCACATAGGACAGTGCTGGAGTCCTGAAAAAAATGTAAACCTGCGTCTTACAAAGTTCAGAGTCCTCCCAGTTATCTCTCCCCACTGTGACAGGCTCTCCTGGACACTTGTTGGGCATCAGAAAGCTTTCCAGGGTGAGATCACCTTTTTCATTTCCTGACCCCTCTGGTACCAAGCTGCTCTCAACCTGCTCGGGTTCATTCAGTCATGCTTCTGGGATTGCCCTGGTGAGATGGGTGTTTGCAGGATGCTGCACTGTGGTGAACTTAAGGTGTGCCTCCACCTTCATTAGGGAATGTCGTGTTGATATCCAGTTACTGTTGCCCAGACTAGTTTCCTTTCAAGTTGTCTGTGCAGGGAAGGAGGAAAGCAGAGGAGGAATCAGACCAAATACTTGTTCCTGATGCTAACTTACTTATTTCTTACTGATAAGTTGGTCTAGACATTGTTCCTAATCTAATGAGCATCATTTTACTTTCTTGGAGGTGCAAATGTGGTTAATCATTAAAGAATGCTGTGCCCAAGCTGCAGAGTTAATTTTCTATATGTGCAAATTTGGCAAAATTTAATCATCAACCCAGCCTTGCAGCCTCTCTGACAAGGCCAGCCAGACCTTGAGCAGCCTTTCTTGCTGCAAGAACAGTTGACACCAGAGAAAGCCCTGGCTCCTTGTATATCTTCCAAGGCCACTGCACCATGGGTGCAGCATCATGAGGTTCCATGCTCAGCATCTGTGCTGCAAAGCACCTCCCCTGCCTTTTCCCTCAAGAGTGCTTTACACATTTCTTCCTGAAACAGTGCAGAAATCAGGTACAGACCTGGTGCACATCTGACTCTCATTTCTCCCCTGCCAAAAACAGGGTTGGTTGGTTGGTTGGTTGGTTGGTAAGGAAGAGGCACCAGCTCTAGGTTAAGACTTGGCCCTGCTCTCACTGAGAGAGTCAGCTGCTGTAATTTCAGATACAACCATGCCCCTTTTGTCTGACCAAATTGTCCCCTTTCTAAGACTTCCTGTGCTTTGGGCCACCTTTCAAGTGTCATGGATGAAAGTATTGATACGGTAATGATTTAGTAAGAAATCTAGATTTATTAATAACTACAGCAATTTATCAATACAAAATAATTCAGAAAGAAAAGCGACTTATTCACAGATTCTAAAATTACAAGATTCACTCTAACTTCCTTACGGTACCTTAATTTATACACATATATACATGCGCATACATACAGAAACAAAGGTGTTTGGATTCAGTAAAAATGAACACAAAAGGGACAAACACACACAGGAACAAGGGCAAGGGTATGTAACCACACGCACACACCAATGAACGGAGAAAGAATGTATGAAATAGAAGCTAGCTCAAATAAAATTTCCCTCTCGAGTTTAGAGCAAATACTCACAAAGCCTTGGCATTCCTCAACGGGCGATAATTGAGACTCGAGCGGGGGGACTTCGCCCTGGCCTTCCGTCTGGAGCAGACGACACCTTAAGGGTTTTGGTACCTGAGAGGCGTCCCAGCTCAGGGGAGATGCTGGTCACAGGCCCGCTGAGCTCCAGGAGAGCTCAAAGGGTCTCTCTGGTGGTCGCAGTTTATAGCATCCAAGATAACTGACTTTTGTCAGATACTTTCTGGTGCCTTCCAGCAGTTGCACAAGAATTTGATGAACACGCAACCCTGTTATTATTCCATCTGATCACATCCCAGGCACAGGTGTGCCAGGCCATCAGGAGATGATGGGCCATTATAAACCTTTCTGAGCAAGAGGCAGTGGTGGTAAGAGAAGAGAGGCAGCATGATTTTGGGGAAAAGAGGCGGAAGCCAGAGATCAGTGAGGAGAGGTGGCCAAGGGAATAGAAGTTGCGAAGGATTTGGAAAATCAAGAAAGCAAGTCATGGGCTCATATAAAATCCTGATGGTGTAATGCTGTGCAGATACCATGTGGTCTGACCAGAGAAAATCCTATATGTTGATTTGTTGAAAAAAGACTCCACAACTCGAATAGAATTATAAAGCAGGTATGTTTACTCCGGCGCCGGGGTGCAAGGAGATTTCTTGACAAAGCTTGCACACCCACCGCACATTTTACCAAAAACTTATAGAGTGTGGATATCCATATTCATTGGATTATGTAACACAAACATACATATGCATGAGTAGGGCTGGGTGAGTTAGAAAGGCTGGTGTCAGCAGTTGATGTCATCTTTGCCCCTGCGCATTGCTTCCTGGTGGGTGTCTTCAGGGGTCTTTGGGAGGAAGGCTTGTAGTCTTTCTCACTTTGTTTTTTCCCCGGAGCATGCACAGATTCTCTTGGCCAATTTCTTGAATAACAAGAGTGTTTTTCAGA